ATTAGAAAACGAGTTGATTGTAATTTATTCAGATGAACAAAAACATTTACAACCTTGCCATCTTTTTTCATATATTTTTGACAACAAGTTAACACAAGTATTTTCTGAATTCTATAAGTTACTAAAATTATTTTTGACCATTCCTGTAACAACGGCCTCATCTGAAAGATCTATGAGCACTTTAAAAAGAATTAAAACATATTTGCGAAATTCAATGACTACTGAAAGACTTTCCTCATTATCCACTTTAAGCATTGAAAAGAATATGGTGCACTCAATTACTCCAGAAATGAAAAAACAAGTTATTGACTATTTTGCTAATAATAAAAAATAGAAAAATGTACTTAATATATAAAAAATTTAATATTTATTGTTTAGCGAATAAACATTAGAGTTAAGTTTATTTTTTGTTTTAAAAAATGTGTCCATGTTTTTTTTTGTGTTTACTTGTTTATGAAAATAAACTATTTAAAAAACATTGTGTTTTATTTTCCTCACTTCTGAAATAAGGATAATAAATAAGAACGATAAGGATTTAAAATTGTCTACCCAAAATTTTTCATCAAGCTTCGCCACTGGTTCGTAGTAGAAGGTCGTGTCCAGATGCAATATTCGTTATAAAGCAAATTACTGAGAAATCATTAGATTTTAATAAACCAGCATTTCTGTGTCTGATTGACCTAAAAAAAGATTTTGACAGAGACTAAAAGATGTAATCCGTTTTCTGTATAATAGAGAAGTTCCCCTAAATATTATAAAAACTAGCGAAAACATCTACCAAAACAACAAAATGGAAGTCAGAATAGATGGACAATTTACAGAACCTATAGAAATAGGTAGCGGAATAAGACAAGGGGATCTGTTACGCAGACGACGCAATATTGATAGCCCAAGATAAAGATAGTCTGCAAAGACTGGTACACAGATTTAACATAAGAGCAAAAGAATTTAATATGACAATCTCATCTCAGAAAACTAAAACAATAGTAATCAACAAAGAACCTACCAGATGTAAAATAGAAATTGATGGCATCAGTATTGAACAAGTAATGGAAATAAAATACCTGGGAATTACACTGTCTAGCTATGGAGACCTGGACAAAGAAGTAAGAGATCAAGTACAAAAAGCAAATAGACTGGCAGGTTGCCTTAATAACACTATATGGCGAAATAGACACATTAACACTGAGATGAAGTCAAAAATTTATAAATCCAGTTCAAAACCAATAATGACATAGGCCTCAGAAACAAGACCCGACGCAGCCACAACGCAAAGGCTACTGGAAACTGCAGAGATGAGAGTGCTGAGAAGAATTACAGAAAATACGCTGAGAGATCGAAAGAGAAGTAAAGACATTACAAGAAATTGTAACGTCATCATCATCATCATATAACGGGGGTCCTACGGCGGTTGCCGCTTCCCGCATTTCAGCCTCCATCTTTTCCTATCTCTCCAATCTCCCTCTTCTAAGCCTCTAGATTGCATTGTTTTTGTAATTTCTCTTCTCCAGGAATTTGGTGGTCTTCCCCTTTTCCTTCTTTCTGGCGGAACATACATTAAGGCTTTCTTTGGCCACCTCTCCTCCTCCATTCTCATCACGTGACCATACCATTGTAATTGCCTTCCTTGTATTCTATCTGAGAGAGTATCTCTAATTCCTGTACGGTTTCGTATTTCCTCATTCCTAATTCTTTCCATTCTCGATACTCGACATGACCTTCTAAGATAATCCATTTCCACAACGTCTAATTTATCTCGTTCATTCTTTGTCATCGTCCAACATTCGGCACCATATGTGGTAATTGGTTCTACAATTGCTCTGTATACGCGAAGTTTGGTATGCATCTTTATTTTATTAGACCACAGTAATGAATTCAGTATTCGGATGCATTTTTTCCCTTGGGTTATTCGGTTTTGTACATCTATCTTAACTCTGCCATCTGCTGATATGATGCTTCCTAGATATTTATACTGGTTGCAGCCTTTTATGACTGCGTTTTCAAGCCTCAGATCTGTGGTATTTCCTCCAATTTTTAGATATTCTGTTTTGCTTATGTTTACAGTAAGCCCCCATTTGGCATATTCCTCAAATAATTTTCGATTCATATAATTTATATCTTCCTCATCGGTTGCAACCACCACCTGATCATCTGCAAACAACAATGTATACAGAGTTTCTTGTCCCACTTCGATGCCCATAAATCTACATTTATTTCTCCAATTCCTCAATGCTTCTTGGACGTATATTTTAAAGAGTGTCGTCAAACAGCATCCTTGCTTTAGGCCTTTAGTGACTTTAAATTCATTTGAGGTTCTGGTTCCAATTTTTACACAACTAACTGCATTTTCGTACAATTTATATATCGCTCGGATATACGTCGAATCCAATCCGGACCTTTTGAGGACCTCAAACATTTTCTTTAACGGGACACTATCATATGCTTTCTCAAGGTCTATAAATATCAAATGGGTCTCTCTACTTCTTTCGACAAGCTTTTCAATTATTTGTCGTAGGATAAATATATTATCAAGGCAGGATCTCCCGGTAAGAAAGCCGCTTTGTTCTTCAATATCTTGTATCTGTCTTTCAACCCTCTTCTTTAATATTCTGCCGTACAACCGGCCCACAGAGCTCGTCACACTAATACCTCTATAATTGGAACAGTCTCTTTTATTCCCTCTCTTATATATGGAGCTTATATAAGATTTATTCCAATCTTTAGGAATTTCCTGGTCTCCACACATACATTTATTGAAAAGGTCTACTATTAATTCTAAAAGTGCAGTCGGAACATATTTAACCAGCTCTATGGGAATGTCTCCAGGCCATGCGGCTTTTCCATTTTTAACCTCTTTTAAGGTATCCGTCAATTCAGATAATGTTATTATAGGGATTTCCTGTCTTTCGTCTCTGTTGTCTATTAATTCCCTTATGTTTTCCCATCTGTACTCTACTCTATCCTCTTTCAGCAGTTTCGTATAATATTCTTCCCATTCATTTAACTTTATGAGAGAAATGTTGTCTTCATTTTTCTCATTTTTCCTAAACTGTTTTAATGTTTTCCAAGCTTGCGCCACTTTTGTTCCACCCATAAATCTGTCCAGTTCATCACACTTAGCCTCCCAGTTTATATTTTTCGCCTTATCCACGTCTTTTTTAACTTCTCTATTCCATTTAGCGTATATTTCTCTGTCTTGAGGATCTTTGGATTGAAGCCATATGTGATATGCTTGTTTTTTCTTGAGAACTTTCTCTTCTAGTTCCGTTGACAACCATTCAGGTTTTCCTTTTTTCCGATTTTCAACTTTTCCCAGTGCTTCATTTGCCGCTTCATGAATATATTTTTTAATTACCTCATACAGACTTTCGGGGTCTAAGTCCTTTGTTTCTATATTTTTTATTTTCTGAGCTATTCTAATTTTATATAAGAACTTTGTCGAATCTTGTTTAAAGTTTCCAGGTTATATTTTATGTTTTCTATGGTTGTTCCTATGTCTGTTACTTCATCATTTTTGTGACTTGATTGTTCTTTCTTAAATGTCACGATTACTTTTGCAATAATCATATGGTGGTCACTTCCACATTCTGGCCCTCTAAACACCTTCACGTCCTTCGTTTTTAGTTTAGAATCTTTACGATGAATGAAATAGTCAATTATTGATTTTAAATTCTTGGTAGGCTGCGTCCATGTAAATTTATGTATATTCTTATGGGGGAAGAAACCATTTAATATTTTCAAAGAATGTGCCTCGCAAAAATCTATTAATCTTTGACCATTGTCGTTCAGAATGTCTTCTCCATATCTCCCTATTATTTCACTGTTGGAGCTTTTTCCGGTTCTTGCATTAAGATCACCTAAGATCCAAATTTCTTTCTTCTTATTAATTGTGGCTAGAACAGTTGTTAACTTGTTAAAGTACTCTTCCTTGCTGTCAACCCTTGAGTCATCCGTCGGTGCATATGTTCCAATTACCACTATTTCATGGCCATTTTTCTTAATTTCCATGAGGATAATTCTTTCATCTATTTCTTGCCATGATTTAATACATTTTTTCAGTTTCTGATGTATTGCTATATAATTGTAACGTACAGTGTATAAATGAATGTACACAAAATAAAAAAAAAATTGGAATAACCACATAAGCAGAATAGGGGAGACCCGTGTCGTCAAAATAGTAAGAGATAATGCCGGGAGAAGAATTGTCGGACGACCGCGCAAAATATGGAGTGACAACCTTTCATAGAGGTATTAATCCACCAATGAACAAGCAGAATTGCTTATAAAGAGGAAGAAGAAGAAGACTTTTTGAAATGGCGAAATCGAGAAATATAAAAGAGTCCAAGGGTCGTAGCATATTGTATTTTTTTTACATTTCGTGTAAAAATGCCAACATTTCGAATACTCCTTATGTGTTGATGCGCGTTAATTTAAATGTTTATAATCTAAAATTACAGTACTTTTTTAAACCTATTTTAGGATAAACCTATTAAGAATATTTGATACAATTTAATTTGAAAGTATAAGCCTTTCTCTTCAACTTGGTGGTTTCAGAATTCATGTAGACCTAATAATTATGTTGTAGATAAAAGCTTTCTGAGATAAACAATTTTAATTTTGCAATAACTTTTAGTAAAACTTTTTGAAAGTTTTATAACTGAATACATGTCATATTGCCACTATTATCAAGCTAAATTAAAGTTTTTTTTGCATTTTTAGAAAAATTATTAATAATTTTCAAAAAATCGACTTTTGAAGCTTTTTTTGCATTAATTAAGCAACAAATTAACAAATATAACTTTAAAAACTCTCATTTTAAATCAAGTTTTATTTAAAGAATATATTTAATGAATTTCAGACTTACCATTGAGGTCGGGTAGCAGATTTAACTAAAGGTGTCATATTTTCCATAAATAAATTTCTTTCTTTACTAATATTAACAATATTAAATAAAACTCTCTGAAAACATAAAGTTATTATTTGTCATGTGAGATACAACATCAATTTTTTCTTGCCTGATCTTGTTTCACATTATCTACAGTAAAATTGAACCAAAATCTTAATTTTGGGCTACATGTATCAGGTCGTATAAACAAGTCATACTCATATTCGTTGATGAGATCAACTCGACCTAAATTTCCTGTTTCAAAGGATGCATCAAAACATAAATGTCCTTTTTTTGCTTTTCCGGAATGACCGGGGGGCCGCATTATTATTCTGCTTACATTTCCCATTCCACCCTCTCCGTCGCTATCATCTGAATCTGAAAACATAAAAGGCATGGTTTATCACCTAGTAATAGGTAGTACTGGAGAATCTCAACTTCGGTAATCACCTTCTATTCAGAAAAATTTAAAATATGTTCAATAGTAACAAAAAAGCCAATGACATATCTATTACCCTACATATAAAAAATAAGTTATCCATTATTTCATAACGTTTTTTATTGTTATCTTACCTTCTCCAAAATCACCCATCTTTTAAGAAATAAATCACGATGCACTTCGATCGGAACAATTGTAAATATAAAATTATTTTATACGTAAAGTAATTTGTATAGCAGTCGAACGTGACAAACTGTCTAGGAATTTAGTTTTTGTTGACATTTTTCAAACGTGCATTGTTTGATCGATACTAAAATTCCGTGGCTTGTCTTAGAAGGTACCTTTTAAATAAATAGGTCAAAGTTTCACATAATACTGACCTGGTAACAGGAGTATTTAAGCTTTAATGAAGTGAATGAGCTTCAATTCACGAAACCGGCAAACAAAAGTACATGTAATCAGGACCGTTCCTAGGGTATCTGACCCAGTGTATTTGTATGGTAATTAGTAAATTTTGAAATACATAGATGACGTTATTGGTGAAGATGCAATTAATACAAAGAGTGCCACCGGGTATAAAAAAATCAGTCCCCAGGGCCAACATTTTTTTTTTCGTAAATATTGTTTTTTATAATATCTATGAACATAGCGTCGGCTTACTAATAAAACCTTCTAAGTCTGAGTAGCAAAACTTTTCAGGAGAAGCAAAAAACTGCTACTACCGTTATTATGGGACCCTCTCTACTATGGAACCTAAATTTTGTTAAACACCGCTAAAATGTAATTTTAGGTAAATCAGTAATCCAGTATATAAATATTTTATTATTTAGGCATTAAAAGAGGACTTAGATGCTTTTCATTTATTTATTCGGGAAAAAATAAGACATACAAGGTACATAAGAGTCGATATTTACTTTAAATATAATTAGTTTGTTTGACAACCGGTGTATTTAAAAAAATATATTACCAAAAAATCCAATTTTCATATGAAATATTTGTCTAATATATATTAACCATAGATATATTAACTGATAAAAAATAATAGTGAAACAAGTAAAGTCCAGGGCATTTTGTAGTCTACTTTGTATTCAAGACTTAGGCCTGGATTGTACTTTATACATCTTAGGTCATGGATAGTTGGGTCTCCAGATTGATTTTCAGGTCTTATTGAACTATAAAAATTAAAATTGGAAAAATTTTTCCAGAATGTATGATCAAGGTATAGTACTTCATATGGTTTAGGAGTGAGTCTTGCATTTTTAAAAAGGTCGACATAGCAGCCTGGTGTATAAATTTCACGACTTCTGAGTTTTCTTTCAATTATGGTGTGCATTGAATCGCACTCCATTTGTGTATGACCTTTTTCAAGGTACTTATGAACCACCACAATTTTTTTTCCATGAGCCACAGACAAAAGTGCGTTTGATAATATATTATTTCGATTCTGGTAGCCGCAACCATCACTGTAAAATATTATTTCATCATTATCCTGAAGAGTTGGTATCTTATTAAGGATAAAATAAGAAATTATTGTAGAGAATTCGTTTGCGGACAGCCCACCTTCTCCCTCGTGCCACATAAAACAATATCCATCTTTGTTTTTGAGAACAAATATGGTAAAATTGTGGACTATCAATTAAGTCTTATAGTAAAGCGCTGAAGTTTTTAAATTTTTTGCAAGAAGTACACTCTGTAAATCCATGGTATATACAAATTTACCCTGCTGCTTGTCTTTGGACTTTTCCGCCCTAGCATTTTCTTTATTTTCTATGTGTCTTTTGTAAGCATCGTCTGACACTGGTCTTTTTTGGGCTAATGTATGCTAATATTCATCTTTTCGAATTCCTCCATAAATGTTTTAACTGATAGGGATTTTTATTCCACTTCTTTTCATATTCTCGTAATACTTCCATCTTTGATCTCCATACGGATTCTAGGTATATTTTCATAGTAGATGATCTACAATAATGCGACTCAAGCATTGGCAGACTTATTAGAAAGGAACGCAAAATATTCCTAGGAGAGCCATCCTTTGTTTCCTGAGATATTTTAGACCGTTTCAGATTTTGTAAAGAGGTATCACCGGGTGTTGCGTGAGTATCCTCTGTATTTATATTTAGATCATTTTTTTTAAATCATTTAGACACAGTCCATTGTCCGACGCATAATGTATGTAGAAACATTGTTTTGCAAACCCTATGTAATTCATCACCTGCATTTTTCAGATGAAAATATAGTGATTGGCTTCTTCTAGAGACTTCGTTGATTTGATGTTTTTTATCTTGGGCTGCACCAACTCGGACTAATACTTCAACCATGGTTTTTTTCTCTCCCCATGTCTTTTTCCAAAATTCGGAAAATATTTTTGCTCATTGCTGTTCGCTGAACAACCTATATTTTAACGATGCAGTTTTTTGCACTCAGTTTACAATTACCTGACCGTTTCATACTTCTTTCTGGTTTTTCAACATCAAAAGCACATTTTTTGTCGTCCATCTTTCTTCTACCGAGATATTTTTCACGATGTTCCCTTTTTAATTTATTTTGGATTCGACCTATTGTGAAATATCATCTTTTCTGTCTCTTTTTGAAGTTATACTTCTATACGCACGGTCGGCGTTAGAAATTTGCATGAGGGTGAATCTGTGAAATTTTTCGAATGATATAGGGCCCTTGCAGAGACAGCGTGACAAACGAATGGAGGGGCAGATACAATAACGACCTAGAGTCTCTATTCGGAAAAGAAAATCTAGTCAGATATATAAAGGCCAATAGACTCAGATGGGCAGGACATGTGATACGCAGTAACGACATCGCCTTATAAACAATGTGTTCTGGAAAAGGCCAGAGGGAAGAAGGTCTGTAGGGCCTTCCTACAGTGGAAAAGGTGGAAAGATGCAGTCAGAGAAAATCTAGAGAGATGGGAGTGCGACAATGGGAATTACTGGCACAGGACCGACAAACATGGAAGGCAATAGTAAACGCGGCAAAGACTCACGAAGAGTTGTAGCGCCATTGATGATGATGATGAATCTGTGAAAACATTACGTATGTAAGATAATGAGTAAGAGAGAAACAGAAGATATATTTTCTCTCTCGAGAATAAAAATGTTCCTTTTGTATATATTTAATATTATATTATATATATATATATATATATATATAATATATATATATATATATATATATAATATTATTCTCACCAACTTTTCACATAAACCTCCCTATGCCAGCTCAGTTATAGATGATGTCTATAAGCAAACGTCCACATTCCTTAAAGAACACCCTGACCTGATGGTATTAACCAGTGACAAAGGCAATGCAATAGTAATAATGATGAGAGAGCAGTACCTAAACCTGAGCCAACAACTTCTAGATGAGAATAAATATTATCAGCCACTTCCCCGCAATCCAACATCAACTTACACAAATAAAATCAATAAATTCATCACTGAACTAAAAAACAAAAAAATCATCGATGATAAATTAGCCAAATCCCTCCATAACTATAATGACAATGCCCCTAGGTTCTATTGTCTTCCTAAAATTCACAAGCCCCAACTGAGTATGCGTCCTATATTATCGTCAATCAACGCTCCTAACACGAATTTAGCCCAATTCTTAACGGACATTCTTTCACAAGCATACAACTACAAGAACGATTTCAACATAGTAGACTCTTTCCAGTTCAGCGAATTTATCAATAATTATCAGTTACCAAGAGAATATGTCTTAGTAAGCTTCGACGTAGTATCCCTGTTTTCTAACCTCCCACTCTCTAGTGTCGTCACGTCACTTAGGAACCATTGGAATGAAATCCAACCACACAGTCCAATATCGTGGGAAACATTCTCGGAATTATTAAAACTGACGTTTGACACCAATTTTCTAATTTTTAATGAAAAATACTATCGTCAAATTTTTGGAACTCCCATGGATCGTCCATCTCCCCCATTCTAGTTAATTTCGTACTCGACGACCTTATCAATGAGAGTATCAGTAAGTTGGATTTCCAGGTTCCCTTTGTAAAGCGTTATGTCGACGACCTGATCCTAGCAACACCACCTGATAAGATTTTAAGCACCTTATCAGTCTTCAACAGCGTTGATCCTCACCTTCAATTTACATGTGAATTGGAGGTTGATAACAGCATACCGTTTTTGGACATGCGAATCATACGCACACATAGCAACATATTGGGCACTACGTGGTACAGGAAAGAAATGGCGAGTAACCGGTTCCTAAACTACCACTCCACACACCCGATAAGATACAAACTTAACCTTGTACAAGCTCTTAGCTTTAGAGTACACACGTTGACCCATACGCGGTACAAGAGGGAATCTTTGGATTTACTCAAATCCATCCTCATTGATAACTCTTACCCCATATCCATCATCAACAGATATCTTTTCTCTAAAAGCTACGGTCATTCTATTTCTGAAGCACCTAACGGTGCAATACTAGCCTCCATATCCAATAGCTTACAGACTGACAATTCCCCGCTAACCCCGAAACCAGCCACAAAATATGCTTCTCTTCCATATTTCCCACAAGTTACGAACAAGCTTACTAAACTATTCAAAAACTTACCCGTCAAAATATCCCTAAAAAACACTAAAACTATTGGAAAGTTATTAAAACGCTCCTTTATTGAAATGTGTGAGATCCTAAAAAACCCATCTGCAATAAACAAAAGAACCGACATTGACAATTTGAGCCAGGTTTACCACTCTCTCATCTTACGAAATAAATAATATCAATATTCATAATTTAAAATAGCCGGATTTTCCATTCAAAACAATAACATAATCATCCCAAAGCTCTAAGTTACATTAAAACATAAATTACAAAAAAAAAAAAAATCATATCAAATTTTTCCATTACAAATCCACCCGTCCAACTATTCTTTCAATGACCCCCGTAGAAGTTCATAATTGTCTCAAACCTTGGAATTTGTTGAACATATGGCCCTTGAAAAACATTTTCGGTATCGCGCCACGTCGTTTTGGGTAGATTGCAATAAATTAGTGTTTTGTTTGTCTTCATTGGAGAACCATCTCTGAAGCCAAATGTACGTTTAAAGTTTTTGTAAATCTTCGTTTCTGCGAATGTTATTTTTTGCATATTTCTGTTAAATTTTTTTTTAAGTTAGTTCTAAATTTATGAGTAAACTTAAGTACATATACGATAACATCTTTAATACTACATATTGAGTTGTAAGTAATAAATTATTAGATCTGTATTTCTTATAAACTCTATGTCATATTTGTATTTTAGAGAACTGATGAAGCTTTAGAAATATAAAGCGAAACGTCTTCGATAAACTTATGAAGTAGTTGACTTCTGTTTTTTATTTTGCCAACCTGACTGACCGAATAAACCTCTGAATTCACTAGTTGAATACTTTATTAATATATATATATATATATATATATATATATATATATATATATATATATATATAATATTGTATATATATAATATAATATGTATTAATATTATTATTTATGTGATATGTTTTGTATTATTTATTAAACGATTATAATTATTTTAGGCTTTTGTATTTCAAAATAATCACTGTTTGACCGAGAACTGTCAGTTTTTAAATCCGTTAGTGTGATGTCTAATTGGCAAATTTTTTACGTGTTTGGTTCATACGCTGGTGTTTGTGAGTTCGAATCCCAATCTGAATTTCCCTTTTTGTTTTTGAAATATTTAAAAACCTCACATTAACCTTATTAAATATATGTAATATACGCAAAAATGCTAAATTTTAAAATAAACTGAAAATTTACAACATAATACGAGTTGTTGGTTTTTTATTTTTATCTTCGTAAAGTAAGTTATGTATATTGGCAGTTTTAAATACTTATGAATATTGCATTTTAATTTATATTGTATTATTATATTGAATTATGTTGCAGTGTATTTATTGTATTGTAATTTTTATATTAATAACAAAATAAACAATGAATTTTACTGCAGAGTATGTCTAAAAAATTTTTTGCATTCAACTCTTTTTATACATATACTTATGAAAATAAAAATATATATTTTCATTAAAATATTGATACAATACTTCATTAACTACATATACTCCTATTACAGGTCAAATGTTAATATACAGCAAACGATGCACCATATACCTATATAACTAATTCTTTTTCTCTTTCTGCTCTCTCTTACCTATAGCATTACATACGTAATGATTGTGCAGTTTGACTCCCAGATAAATTTGTAATGACGAATACATGTATAGAAGTATAACTTCTACCGGAAGTCCCACTGGACTGCCACACCCGTTTTTATCTTTTGAGAAACCGTGGGAGGAACAGTTATGTTTAAATTATTGTTATCTTCAAAGTTATTTTCTTCTGAGTTGGTAACCTTATTCTGGTAGGAGACTAAATCACTTGAAGAATTTTCCACTGAATCGGAATTAGGAGAATAGAGAGACTCTTCTTCATCATCAAGTTCACTATTATTCGTAATGTTATTTTTGTCGACTGAAAACTCATTCAGAGCCTCAAAATTTTGCACTCCGTTTTCTAATCAAACATGCTGATCTTCTGAAATAGTAAATTAATTAATATAAAAACCTACTAACGAAATTGTGCGTTTACTCACGACTATTTTTTTGAATAGTAATAGAATTATCATCTACATTATGTGCGCACTGGACTTTAACAGTGGTAGGTAAGTCAATAAACTCTATGGGCAGATCATTAATAATAATGTTATCTTCCCAAAGTCCCCAATCAATAGGTTTTGGAAATAATGGTAAAATATTTTCACAATTATGATCAATGTTATCAAAATTGTTATTTTCTTTCGGTGAAACTTCTGGCGCGGCAACTAATTCTATTCTATCAGCTCTGTCAAGCTCTACAAGTCATAAAAAAAGTATAATTTGATTTCTTGAAGTTTTTTCAATTCATATTTTAACTTAACTTTTAGTTTGAAAACCATGTAAGTCCCTAGCAGTCAATATTTTATCGTTTATTTTAATATGAAAACCGTTCACATCAACAGGTTAAGAATTTCATTTAAAAATTATTGTTAATTAAAATGGGATAAAAACAGTGTACATACCATCCTAACTATTTAAGTTTAAATTTAACTGGAAAACATTAACTGTTGCTAGCACTTCTAGCCAAAAACCAGCAATTTTTAAGACCGACTACTTACTAACTCAGTAAGTAATCTAGTAAATTACCGACTCAGGATACCAAATGTTAGTACGTTTTCACAGACCACTCACAGACATAGAAGGTTTTCAGAACTATTTTAGACTGAGAGACATAGAAGTTCCTCGTATTACCACCAGGGACGAGTTCCGATTATTCACAGTTATGTCGGGACGGATTTATTAAATTATTTCCGTAAAAAAACACTAAATGAGCGAAAATTGGACTTAGAAGGTTTTACAAGTAACCCAACGATATATAAGCAAACTTTGTTTCGAAAAAATGTCTCCTTAATAATATTAATTTTTTGTTGGTGTATAGCGGGTATCCACCATGGCCAAAACTAATAAATATTTATTGTGTATTTATTAGTAACCACAAGCGGTATCCACCAATGATTTCAGACTATTCGAGTGTGTAACAACACCGCTATCACGTGCCGAAGAGCTGTTGGTCCTTGGGAATGCACAACTTTTAGTTGTGAAGTGTGAAAGTATTGACGATGTCTTATGAAAAAGAACAGAAGCGTCTTCATGATATGTGGAATTAGTTTCTTTCAGAAGAATCAGATTTTCCGACGAGTTGTTCCGATTATTAACCCAGTAGCGAAGATGAATTATCCTTGGAAGATTCTGACTTAATCTACCTAATCTACTTAATCGATAACACTTGAAAACATAAAAGAAGAGCATAATAAAAAAGCATAATAAATAAAAGCTAGAATTCATTGGTGGGTCGATACAAACGCCGAAGAGATGGAAACATTTATAGGAATCATTATATGGATGGGTATTATGCATTTACCTGCGATTTCATTGTATTGGTCAAGAAATTTTCTCTATATAAATGCTGTATTTTCGGTTATGTCACGGAATCGGTTCCAAATACTATTGAAAATGTGGCATTTTGTAAATAATGAAGCCGCAGACCAAAATGATAAACTTTTCAAAATCAGTGAGATATTAAAAAACTCAACAAATCGTTTCAAGCTCAAGTTGTCCCTGGATAATTTATCTGCATAGACAAAACTTTGGTGCCATTCAAGGGGCGCTTGAAATTCAAACAATACATAAAATACAAGCGTCCCAAATTTGGCATCAAATTGTTCAAAGTATGCCTTGATGGTGGCTACCTATATAACACTAAAATATATTGTGGCAAAGAAGATAGGGTCATGATCTTACAGTACCTTTACAAACAGTTCTAACACTAAGTGCAGATTTACTGAATGCTAATTACTATTAAACTGGGAATAAGCCACAATTAAAGATAAAAATACGTTTATTGACGTTTCAATTTCCACTTCGGAAATCGTTCTTAAAATACAAACAGTAAATTAAACAAAATTTTGTTTTTTGTTACATAGTGAAAAATTATTCTAATAATTTAATTTTATCCGACTCATTTATATTGACAATTCAGACATACATTATGCATTTTAAAGTAGACGACTTTAAAATGATATTGCCAATATTGTTGAGTTGCGCTCCTGGGACGACTTTACTTATAAGATAGTTCATTCGATTACATGAAATCAACTTTAACTTGAGAATATCCGTCAGAAAAAAACCACAGCATGTAATTCGTATTTAAAAAGGCAAACACATAACATGATGACAGTAAAATTCTCCTGTTAGTGATTCCATAGTAAATTATGAGGGAAAAACCAGGAAAAAAACCTCATAATACTATCCCGACATTGTAAGTATTTGTTCGTGAATTTAGTTTACCTTCAACAAACATCAAAATTCTGATTTTATATATTACGTTATTTAAAAAACATAAATGATGTATCCTCTATATGTTACTGACTTACTAATACTGGTATTTTCTTATTAATAACTTCCTCTTTCAATATTGGTAACCAGATCCTACTACATTCTGCCGAGGAATTTGCGACACAATTGGCCTCATTTAGCATAATTAAAGCCGCTTCTTTGGTTGAAACATAAAAGTCAACACAGTGGCTAAACATAAATTCTAAACTGGTACATAACGCATGTCCACCACAGGGGATATTTTTTTTTTCTTGAAAATGTTGGATATGTTATATCCACCATGGCACGCTATGTGTTAATGATATTTAATGCGTTTATTTCTGCGGAAATATAGGTGGTTGATACAATTAAACAATGTATCATGTTTGCTTTATGAAGTAGCTTTTTAGGTCCATACTTACAGATTGGCGTGATATGGGGATACTGTTATCGTTTATAGCTTCTTTTAAGGATTATTTGTCTGCTGCTTTGTTACGTGCTATTCCAACATGTGATGGGACATAGAGAAACTTGATGTTTGTATCTTTAGTATAGGTTTTATTTTGACATCCACTTTTATTACTCGTTTAACTGAAAACATATTCCTGACCTTCAAGTCTTCTTTGTTTCCGTATATTTCTTGGCCAACTGATTCGTTGCCTTTTTTTTTCGTCGAGGTTTATCGGTTCCTGTTGGTCGTTCCTTCATCCCTGCCAATTTTACATTACCACTTGATGTATCGGAGTCTAAACGGCTGCTAGGTAAATACTCTGATTCGTCTCCAGAAAAATTGTTTGTGTCAGAATTATTTGGAAATAGGTCTTTATGCTCTGGTTTCTTTTGGTATAATAAACCACGCTTTAAAAATAAATTAGTTTTAAAGTTATTAAACACGATTCTTTTTTATTTGAAACGTTAGTTTTGTAGTTTATTAAAAGCGTTGTGAGAAGAACAGATCCAGATTTACCTCACAAATAAATACATAACCCATCATTCCCATTTAACCCATTTTACGTAAAAATTAACTCAAACCACACTTACCTTCTGCTTCAGGCTCAACTTCACCTGCTAACTGCACCATCTTTTCTTCTCTAGAAATCATCTTTACTTATAAAAAGCAATTATTATGCCTTAACGTCTTAAACACTCTTCTTCTTCCTTCTTGTGTGTAGGCTTTAAAGCCTGCTTCTTCTTTAATAGCCTAATAAATTATTTAAATTATCGCACAATCTTTTTCTTGGTCTGCCAATACTTTTTCTTCCATTTTTTTTAGACAGACTTTTCCCTGATATTCATCGGAGTATTTTCATCTGTTGTTCTAGAGGTCGTCTCGTTTTAGATGTATCAGGTCTTGTCTTCACCGTGTATGTTAATATAATATGTCTAATTACTGTTTTATAGATTCTTATTTTTAAGTCTTGTCTTAGGTGTTTGTTCTTCCAGATTGTGTCATTAAGAGATCCCGCCGCATTACTTGCTTTTAAGCTTTGTTGTTGTACTACTTCTTCAACATCTCCGTAGCTAGTTATATTTATTCCCAGATATCTAAACCTTGCTTCCTGCTTTATTATTTTTCCATCAATTTCGATTTTACATCGTAGTGGGTAGTAAATATTTTGAATACACAAATTTGGAATGTTAGAGCTAGGTAAGTCTAGATAGTCTATTTCTTCCAAAGCAGTCGGATGATACGGCGAGGATGCACAAACCAGCTATCTTTAGTTACTTACTTACAACATACAAAGAAAGCATCTCGATATTTTTATCTACTTTTTACATTGTTCAGTAGATGGCTTTTACCTACTTATATTAAGGTACCTACTTTTTGTACTAAATGGTACATAATATTTGAAATATTATTGCCTATAGATAACTCACAATATAAAAATTTTGAGATACCTAGTTGTTACATTCAGGTGACGATATCTTAATCGTACTGCACTCTGAGTGTGACTTTAGCTATAGACTTATGTTATCCAAAGTTTCATGCATGTTTAATAAGGTCGAATCCATAATCTTTGTGTTTCTTTAATTTAACACAACATAAGCCGATGCGACGAGTATCATTTTGTCATCCATTGTTACCCGATTGTATTGCCTGTATGCTGTTCCGGAGCATATATTGCCGAGCCATCTGCTGCACTCAATGTTGTCATAAATGGCTGGGCCATCTTGGCTAGTATTGGATTCACAATTCACATAATTGCTCGTTTTAAGTTAGTGGGATTTTCCCAAAATTTTTTTGGTGCTTTGGCGGGCCGCTCAAAAAGCCGCAGATTGCCGACTACTGATACAGGCGATAAAAATATCGATAATTTGGTATAAGGAAACGGTAGGATAAATAAATATTAAAACACAGCTTTTATACTTTATTGTACTGAATTTTGTCAACATGGAAAAGTACAAATATTGCATAACACTGACTTCTAGCCTGAAATACACAATTGCTTTGTGTGTAAATTAATGTAGTCGACCTCTGTACAACTCGCAATGTAAATTTATTGCAGCCGCATCCCCTTTTAGTATTTGCTAGTGTCCAGTGTACTTAATAACTTAGTTTTGTTCTAAGTACTATCCGTATCCGACCTGGTTCCCAGCTTTACACAGCCCTTTACTAGTAAATAAACCCTTTACACGAACTTGAACCGAACTCTTAAACATTATCCATCCGATGAATGACCTCAATGGGTAAAAGTAATACCACTTCATTATTTTGATATTATTATGCGATCGCGGTCCCGTACACTACACAAATTTCTAAACGACTCAACTAATACTAATGTCAATAGGTACTTATACAAGTATAGAATAAATAGATATAATATTAAGATACAAATAACCACCAAATGACAATAATACACATAAATGCGCATGTGACACTGGACAATAAGCAAGAAAGTACAAATAACAGATTCAAGATTAAATGTATTTATAACTAACACAAGCATATATATACACATATATATGTATATACATGTAGAACTTAAACAGAATGAAAGAGTTAAAACTCAGTATGGCTGTTACTTTCGTCCAGTAAATTTTCAGTACGGAAGTGACAACACTGTACGGTTAGAACGTGTCGCGTTTTTCTTATTATCATATAACACATTAATTATCCATAATATATTATCGGAAATGAGTGAATCAGTCCAGTTCCATCCATAGTCACTACGCCAAACCTAAACCTGTGCTTCTCACTCGTTTCCAACATGACCCTTAGTTATTTAGTATCAAAAATAGTTAAGCCGTCATCGCTCAACATTCTGCGAAATAATAAGGATTTCATAGTGACTTTTGGGCAAAGAACTAAAGTATGTGTAAATTTTCAATATATCTAAAGGCATATCGGATAAAAATTTGGTGCATCTATTTACGTTAAGATTGCACAGGGTTGGGAATGGTTTCGATTAACAGCGGGGTTATGTTATACACCGACCAAAACTCTTCAAGTAAAAGTTATTGATGCGGTGGTTCGGTTGATATGTCATCTATCTCCTCCTCGCTCCTTATTTAACTATTTTACCCGTTTCTTCCGTTCTAATTACTAACACAAATCCAATTTCTTTTTATAACTTCCGTTAATACTGACTGTTTCTAATATCAAGCACATCTCAGAAAACGAACGTGCTTTTCACGGAACAATATTACGGAAATTTTACACGATATTCACGTAATTAAACACAGGTATGCTTACTACGGACATCAAAATTACAATATCTATCTACCTAGCTATATGAAAACTTTAAAAAAACACCAATTATTGAAATTACAGACAATGCTGCTTCTTATCTGTTAACTTTGTAATGAATGAGGGCAATTATTTCATTTACCCCAAAAACAAGTTTCCAAAAGTTCTATCTTGGAAAGCTGAGACTCTCCATAATACTTCTTAATATTTATTGCACTATCAATATTATTGGAATTACTTAATATGCTATTGTTTGGATGATTTCTGGGCAACTTAAGTAAATATGACAGTGAGGTGTCTATAATGAAAACGTTAACCTACATGCTTTTTGCAGTTCCTCATTTGGCAATTTCTTAAGTCATTTCACATAAATTTCAGAAGTCATCCAGTGAAAGAACTTTATATAATAAAGGTACATGTAATTCTATTATTACTATCAACATTTACTGGTGTTGTTGGTTCTAAGGCAAATGTTTTAAATATCTGAGATTGCTTCTTGTTTTAAGTAATTCATAATATTCATAATAAGGATGTATCAAAAAAATGATACCGAATAATTTTTTTATTATGTTATTATGAATTTAGAAGTTATTTTGCTTTGCCAGATTTTTCCAAAAAAAACATTCTCTTTGGTCTAAATAACCTCATATTACAGCTGATGATTTGGTATTTATATTGCTTAACTCTCTGTATTAAAGTTTATAAATATGCAGGTAGGTTTTATTTAACCCACTTATATAATTATACCGTTGTTCCTTTTAAACAATTTTCTGCATCCTTTTGGAATTCTACCATGGTTCCAAAGTCTTCATTTTTCTTATCTCCTCTAGAATTGCATGTATATGTATTTCTACATATATTTTAAATTCGAATCGCATTTACCAATTTCCTAGAAAGTTTAGTTATCATTAATTTATGCGATAAAAACGTATACAGTGTGGAAACCGATTGTGTAATATAATATTTTTGGACATATTCTAGAAAATTTTAATAAATGCTCAGTACTCTTACTTGTACGTTGTTTTAACAAAAAATTTATATAATTTTTTTTTCAATCGAACACCCTTTATAATTTATATATTTTCGAAAGCCTCAATACTTGATATACTTTGGGTGACTATCTTAATTTAATGTTAATTACATTGTTCTTCATTTAAATTAGACAGACATAAATAAAACCCACAGTGTCATTTTCATAACAAGCTAACTTTTTTCCTGTTTATCTTACCGATATTTTCACTGATATTTAAACGAACCTTGTGATTGGTATTCTTTATCATTTTTAACTGCTAATGAACAATATTTTTGGACGTATTTGTTAAGATGGTCGTTTAGAAAAGTTATTAATCTTCATATCCGGTAAGATAAAATCACAAATACAAAAGAAATCATGTACCCATTGAAAGATAGTACATCATAGTGTCTATTATCCACATGCTGTTGAAGTTTTTGTAATTAACCATCAACATAGAGTACACCATAGATAACCAAGAAAAAGATTTTGTTTCTTTTTTCAGGATACAATTTATCTTCGGAGATCCTTTTCATGTCAAGTCTTTTTAGCTTCCTTCATTATTAACTGAAGTAACGGATAATTTCTCAGTATTTCGTCTTTTTGTGTGGATAAAAGTTATTCTTTAAAGAAATTTACAAATTTGTTTCAATTTCCAGTGTGATTCCAAAAGAGACAGTATATATATTGTGAGAGGTGGATAAAATGGCAAAGCAAAATATGGGAAGTTGATTTAAGTGATTGGATTTGTTTTGGTTAATAGATAGCTAAAAATGTGGTTGTGTGATTGGCACGAGGAGGAAGACGAGCCTTAGAGCCGCCCCGAACGGGTCTACCGGCCGTCAAACGGCAAAAGAGATCATACAAACCTCGCTTTTCTTATATACTACTAAAGCTAAAGTATATTGTAATTAGAACTTCCTTATAATAAGTTATTGCATGGATTACAGTTATGAGGTACTGTATTTCCTAATATTTAACCTCTGTACATATAACTTTTGCACTCGATTTTATTTGTAATAATTAATAACCACAATTTATCAAAACAGATAGAATATAATAGGCATGAGTATATATAATATGTATATTATATATATATTTATATCAATCGGTATTCTTTAATAATGGAATGCATCTCGTCACAACAATGTTTGAGCTATATACCCCTCTTCGTTAAGGGGGTATCGTATATGTCAGTTTTACTGACTAGTTGAGCTGAGAGCACTGACATAAAAAAAGACTATGCCGGGACTCTCCTCAACATAACAGCTACACATTTAGACAAAATAACCAATTGGAATATGTAATGTACTATATTACACTTATTCTAGAAGATCTACACAACACACAAGAGTAATTCCGTATGTAGATATAGGGTACG